GCAGATCATAATCTGTTCTGTAACACAAATCTTAAACTAAGAAACTTCAAATGATACCATATTTTTTCTCCAACCATAAAGCAATTAGAAATAATAAACAATGAGTGTGTGTGCATATGTGTTTGAATGTGTGCTTTTATTGTATTTGGTGAAAGGAACATGGAAAATATGTAAGAAAAGTGCATCAGAAGTTACTCTTATAAATTGCTAAAAGTATTTGATAAAATTTGACCACATCGCATAAATAAAATAGAAGAAGAAATGATGAAATAATAAAATAGGAAGGATGATTATGACTTACAATTTACAGGCTAGTTGAATTTTGAGTGCAGACAATTAATATTTTTGTCATTATATTTTTTCTTTTTTTAATTATTTCTTATTAAATTAACCAAAGCCTTTATCAATATGCTTATATTTTTATTCATTGATCAATTATTTTTCATAACTTCATAATTTCAAACTGAGCTAACCATTTAGATGATTCTTGGGAATTGATGAGCAACTCACATTCACTACTGAGACAGGTCATACAAGCACCATCTAGTGATGAAATCCAGTACCTGCCCTAAGACTCAAAGGGTTAAAAAGAGACACAAAAGTGCTCAAAAATTAGAAAGAGAATATTGATTCAATTCAGAATTTAGTAAAGTACATTGTCATTAACAAAAATAAGACTACTAATAATTAATGATATTCAATTATATCTTAATACAAAGGTAGAGTAAAGGGGATTGGCCATTATGCAAATATATTGGGTATTTTGGGTAATCTAAGGCAAGACTGAACGAAGACCCAGTCTACAGATGATACACAGTTATATTGAGCAACAGTAAGAGTTTCCTGTGTGGTTGCTTCCAGAGCTCTCTTAGTCTTGACATTTGTGATCACCTGTCAGAGGCTTTCATGTGAGAGAGACAGAAATTATTAGCCTGTGCATTTCTAATCTCCTGGACGCTAGATCCATAGCATGGATTATGAAAAACTTTAAATTTCCAGCTTCTTTCATAAGAATTAGCATCAACTTCTTTCCAGGATCTATATACGCACTCTTCAAAAGAGCAGATACTTTCTTCTAAAAATCAGGTATTTATAATTTCCCAGCAATTCATTTTATTTATTAGCATTTGCTTCTTTAAATTTTTGAAGGTAATGAGAATGGCAGACATTAAAGCTATATATTCAAAGATAGAATAGTAATTTCATGATCAGGTGCATGTATAGACATATAATATATTGTTGCAAATAATATAAATGCATGTTGGCTTGAATGCAAACTATATCTGTATGTGTCATATGGAGTAAAAGTATGTCTTATAGATTGGTGAAAGAGGACAGGGGAAAATTGATTTAAGGGACAGAAGCTGGGAGGAAAATCATGCATGACTGACTGGCTCATGGGAGCTAGTTTTACATAATATTTATTGAAATTGTATATTGTTGTTACTGTTATTAGTTGATATGACATTTTATTACAGGTATTTTTAAGTTATATGAAGCCCCAGGTGAAATAAAAAATTCAACAGGTATAATCAAGAGTAATCTTCCCATAGGATGTGTCTTTAGATTATAGGAAACTGGGTGCATTATTTTCTAGCAAGTGTATAAAACATACTTCACTCTGATTCCAGTCAACATTTTTAAAATATTATTTTAAGAAAGATGTTTCCCAATTTTTTTCAGAGCTTATAAAACATTAGCTTTGAATATAATTCTACTTTTTTCATATTGCTATGAAGAATCAATTAATTACGACATAGCAAAGATTAGCAAGGTCCATCAAGAACTTCATAATATGATCAGGGACTTCAAGGACACCAAGAGAGTACAAATGTTTGATAAAATTATGACAATTAAAGACTATTGAGAATAAATGTAATAGCAGCTTTCTTAATGGAAGGCCCTATAAATTGTAGTCAGGGGGGTGAGACTTAATAATTCAAATAAGCTAATATGATAAGGAAGAAAGTAAGAGGAAAGCATACCAGAGAAGAGGTGGTTTGAATAAAACATGCAAGGTTGGGGAAATACTTATGTACTATCTAAGATGAAATGTATCAGTGGAATTATGGGAAAATAGGGGAGGCGAGGGGGACCTGGGTGCAGGCTGTGTGGGCAAACTGATTCCGTGGATGTCAGCACAGAAAGAGATCACCTGCTTCATTCTCACTTATCTGTGAGTGATATGCTCAACACTCATAAAATGGAGGATTTATAATTTTTATGTAAGATTTATAATTATGAATAGCCAGTGCTATAGAATCCAGAAATGGCATGCCGTCGCTATTTATTAACTTTAAAAAGACAGTATTTTTTCTTTGTTAAATATTTTCGTATCTGGAATTACATCTAAATTTCTAGGTTTCTGGATTAATTTCAATACTGTTTTATTCAATGTCAGTTTTACTTACTAATTTCACAATTGATACTCATTGAAAACCTACCTTTTTCTGTTCTTCTTGTCGTCTTTAGCAATGAGCGAAGTAGAGTATTATAATATGCCTCGTTTCTGTGCACCCAAGTCACGGAGGTGTCAAGGAATTGAAGCACCTGGGAAAAAAGGTTCACTAGGTTATTTGCACGGAGGTATGTGTGTTTTCCAAATTTTATTTTTTTTAATATTGCATTATAAATAGACAAGATTATACATTATTATACTCACAGTCTCTCCACCATGTGCTTTTATGTTTTGCTTGTTCCACAACTGATCACATTTCAAATTATTAGATTGTTGATTATCACGTTTTATTTTTTGTGATTGCCATATGATTAATGAGAAAACATCTTCTAGTTTTACCTACTGTGTTCTTGACGATCTTTAAAAAATAGTTTTGCAACAGAATCTGTTTAAAATATATTGAGGATGTATTTCATTTTTGTAATAATCATGAAAAATTCATTTCCCCAGTGTATATGGTTGTCATTAGACTTAAGAAGTAAAACTTCTTAATGAACTTATTATTTGTGAATACAGGCATATATATGTAGAAAATACATACTTCATTATTTATTTTAATATAACAATAATAATTGTACTCTATAATATAAATAAAAATCAGATCTATTTTTCTAATCTAATTATATATATATATATAAATTATATGATTACATATATGAAAATT